GTCTATAATATACAAGCCGCGCAAGCCATTACCGAACGACATCGATTGCGTTTGCTCAACAGCGCTGGCGGGAGCGGCGGCGGTGGTGGTGGTGGTGGTGGTGGTAGTGGTGGCAGCAATAACAACCATTTACCGGAATTTATAAAACCCGCCGCGGCTGCAGTTGCTGCAGCTGCAGCATTAGCGGCCATACCTTCCTCGAATCAGATTAGCCATCCAATGGTGTTTCCCTCGAATCGTGTGCATTTCCCAAAGACAAGTCGTCGATTGCCACAGGTATGTATCTATTGAAATAAAATTTATCCTAATGCTAGATATGGTTTTTTTCGATTCTTGCCTTTGTAGATTTTTTCTTTACAAAGTTTAGTTTTCTTAATAATCCGAATTATTTTCTCATTCGGTTGCAGGCTCTCATCATCGGCGTGCGGAAATGTGGCACTCGCGCTCTTCTGGAAATGCTTTATCTACATCCTCGCATACAAAAGGCCGGCGGCGAAGTGCATTTCTTTGATCGTGACGAGAACTATCTGAAAGGACTGGAATGGTATCGCAAAAAAATGCCGCACTCATTTCGTGGTCAAATAACGATCGAGAAGAGTCCGAGTTACTTTGTGTCGCCAGAGGTAAGAGAGTAATTATGATAAAATATATTTTTTAAAATTTTTATACTTTCCTTTACATACGTATGTAAGCGGTAGACAGGGGTGGTATTGATGGCAACAGTAGCTGATTGGATAGATATGCAAAGTACTATTTAGTGGATAAGAACGAGGTTCGATTTATGGTCTGAGCTTTTTTCTAAAACGATATTTTCTTGGCTGGAAATGGCAAATGTCCAAGTTTAATTTTGCCAAAGAAAACCCTTTCATTAGAACCATCTGTCGTTTGGAAGTGAGGTAAAACTGTAGGTTTCCCCCTTCGAGTAAAAATATCAAGACGCTCCGCGAAAACTTAACAAAAAAATAAGCTAAAAAAATATTCTTATTTTAATTTTTTATACTGGGATATTACAAAGGTTGTCATTTTAGTTCCACGTGTGTTTTAACGCTGACCACTATTCAAACGCCAAAAATCGTCGAGCTAGTTACGAAGCTTCAAAAGCAGCTTATAGCAATATATGAGTTTTCGTCAGTACTAATTATACCATATATTTGGGTGCCAAGTTTCTCCCATCTTAGACCCTAGAAAGCTATGCAGCCTAGTGGAAAGTGTTGAAGTAATTCCAACTCATCTTCATTCAGGCAACTGGGAAAAAAGGATTTAGGTGTAATTTTCAGTCTCTCCGCGGTATTCTGGTCAGATAGCGACGTTTCAGAACCGCATAAGAATCAAGGGATCTGCTTTGCAAGCATACAAAATATCTTTGAATTATCCCGACCTATCTCAAACCAGAAGGACCTTATAACAGCACATGTCTTAGTTCTTACCCAAATTCGCTGAGCTGACAAGAGACCGAACTGTTAAAAAATGAAACCCAGATTGTCATTGGTACACGCACCCGCTTCCTGGCTGATGATATTCTTTCAAGATTACCTTCCTCGTTAATTCGTAAGCTATGCGGATTCCCGGAGTGTTACCGTGACCTAGTGATAAATATAGTGTAGTATTTTTTCTTATATTAAATACAGCCTTTTTATAAAAGAGGTAGTTCAAACAATAAGCAATAAAGTTTGCTAATTAATATTTTGTTAATCATCTGATTCCGGCATTTTATTTAATTCCGCTTTGACAGACATTCACAGTTCGCCAATTATTTTTATTGATTCTGCACTGGTATTGTTCATACTTTTCTTTGTCTCCCGACTGAGATATTTGCTGTGTTGTTGCCGTTTTAGTGCACCTTATTTATTTAAATATAGTTATTTAGTTTCGTATTTGAGAAATGGAACGGCAAACTTTTTCTCGTTATTTTTTCCATACTTTGATTTTGCTTATTCCTCGTTTTACAAACTAAGGTAAGATTTTAATTAGTTCGAAGTTTTTCTTAATCACAAACTAATGTTTCTTTTTATTTATGATTTCTTGTGCCGTTTTCAATCAAAATTCACTAGATAGGTAATATCGCGCAATGACTTTTGATTGCACATGTATTCTGAAAAATGATAAAGGCATCAGTAAGTAAAAAACGAAGAAGATTTCTAGTAAAATGTTTAAGATTTTTGCTTTAATGGAAATTGTAAATGTACTTATACATTCATCCGATTAATTTGACAGCTATTAATTGAAACTCGTTTCAAAATAAGATTCTCGTGCTGCCATTCGGTCGGAAACACCAACAACTTCAAAGCATTAAATATTTATTGAATCTAAAAGAAACTTTCATCTTAATATATAAAGAATCTAAATAGCTCACTAAATTCATATTTCGGAGACTTTAGGACTGCAGGGGAATTTGGTGGTGAAGCTATCTGCATTACATGCTCGCACCCTTGTTATGCACCTATGTATGTATGTACAGTGACGAGCAAAACTGTAACATGGTGTAACACTTTTTATTTCAGCCACCGCTATATTTTTAAGTTCTAACGACTTTCATCCTTTTGTTGTATATTCTTGTTGGTACATGCCTACTCCCTCTCTCATAACGATTTGAAGTCAATACAACAACAATAAAAAAACCAGCAGACAAAAATGTAAATTAGGGCAAATGTTACAGTTTTGCACTCACTCACAGTTTTGCCTTTTACAGTTATCTCTCTATCTTTGGAAGTCACATGACTTTATTTCAGTATTGTAATTTATTGAAGAAGTGATCACGAGTAAATAATATAGTTAATCAGGAACTATAAATTTAAATAATAGATTTACTGCGGAAAGGCGGGACCGCACGAAAAGTGGCTAACAGAATTTCCTACTTGAAAATGTTAAGAAAAAATATAGCCTAAAGTGTATTGAGCGCAAAGGCATCATAAAGAAGAAAAAAGGCAAATTTGATCAAACTACATGTGCGAGTGTGGCAGCATTTTGATGCATCGCACGAATACCGGACCGTTGCCTATTGGGATATGTTAGGTCGTTCAAAATGCAATAAAAAATTGTTTTTTAAGTTTCAAATGAGGTTATTTGGTCTGACAAGACTAAAGTAATCGCTTTCAATCAGATGGCCGGGCATGGTGTTGGATCAAAAACCCAAATTAAGCCCATGCGCATCATGTAAAGCAAACTGTGAATCACAAAGGCCGGTCAATAATAGTTTGGGGTTGTATTTAAAAAATTTTGTTGGTCCGTTAATACGTATTATGCGTAAGCAACAGTATCTGTTCATATTTCAACAAAATTTGCAAGATGTAGTCGAAATAAAATTATAGTTAAAAAACTAAGACCTCCCTAATGTAATTGCCATTCGTACTGTCATCAGGTATGTAACTTGAGAATAGAAATCGCTGCATCTTTTAGGCGCATCAATATTACATAGTTACATCCCGAGCTAATAAAAGGAAGGTAATAATAATAATAAAAATGAGAGTTTCTGCTGAAAATCACTCAAAACACACTGCACATGTTCGCAAAGCCTGCATACAAAAGCAAAAATTTGCTAATTTGAAATGACCTCCACAATCCGCGGACATGAATCTCATCGAGTATTTGCGAAATCAACTAAAATCACAGCTTAATAAGTATCAAAGTCCGTAAAATCGAGTACATGAGCTGTGAAAGCCAACTAAGGATATATGGGAGGATATACCTCCAGAATTTTTACAAAGATACAAATAAGGTATGCCCAGTCGCATCCAGGAACTAAAACAAGCAAAAGGGTACTGAACATTGTGTTAATAGTTCCTTTTTTTTGTGAAAATTGTTAAAAAGTACATAAAAATATATGAGTGCAAAACTGTAACATTTGCATTAAATTATATTCTTGTCTGCTGGTATTATTTTTGTTGTTGGATTGACTTGAAATCATTATGAGAGAGGAAGTACTGGTGTACCAATAAGAATATACAACAAAAGTATGAAAGCCGTCAGGACTTGGAAAGGTAGCGATGGCTGAAGTAAAAAGTATTACACCATGTTACAGTTTTGCCCGTCACTGTATATGCCGTTTCACCAACACTCTAAAAAGCACTGTGTGAAGCCCGCCATATAGGCACTCGACGATCTTTGGAAACTATGACTTCATTCCTGTAGAACTGATTGGTATATAGCGATGTTGGCCGTGAATATTTCTATCTCCACACCATTTCTCCAAGTAATCTCCCTTAACCTTAAGTTTAGGCTCTGCAAAGTGTTTCCAGCTGACTACATATTAATATAATATTAACCCTCTTTTTTTTTGACGGCCATACTGCATATTGCTTTGTCTTATCATTTTACTTAAACTGCAAACTTGAAACAGCTGGCAACTCTCTAATTTTTTTTCTTTCTATATTTTAAGTTAGACTGCTAGCAATACTTCGGTGAAACCGGCTTTCAATTTCATGCATACTGTTCGAGTGATGGGTGTACAATAGGGTGGTCCAAAAGTAGTAAAGTTGGAATTTTAATGCTCTCACCCCCTAGGATTGGTCTAGGTCCAAAAAATATGCCCCTATTTTTTGTTTTGAAATCAAAAAATATTTTAAGGACACTCAAAGCGCTTAAAGTTCGCCATGTATTTTACATGGGGGGAAAAAACTTTTCATAGAAATGGTATGGAATTCTTGAATATCAATATTTTTCGATCGGAAAACTTTGGCTCTCTTCAAGAAACTTCCTTCCACCCATTTTTTAATACTAACGTTTGTATCGGTGCCTCCATTGTATTTTTTGAGGTTTTCGGAAGTTTTTGGTAGACCTATAAATTATAGTTACTATGAAAAAATTGTTTAATAAACAATTTTTATTATTAAAGGGAATACCCTGCAGAGAAGCAGAGTTTTCCGATAGAAAAATATTAATTTTAAAGAATTTTTACGAAAAGTTGTTTTTTTTTCAAAATAAAAAAATGGGGGTATAGTTTTTTCGGTACATAACAATCTTAGGGGGTGACATCATAAAAATTCCGACTTTCCTTTTTCTCGTCCATTTTTGCACCAGCCTAGACAGACATACAGAAATTCTAAAAAATTTCGATTTGGCTCCTATAAGATATTCTAATAAAGACCCCCAATATAATTTTTTTTTTAAAATGATCACAACTCGATTTCGATTCCACTTGCATCGACTAGGTGTGATCAACAGAGTCGGAAGATGATGCAACTTCAGAGCAAATTTTCTGTCCCTGTCCGGCTTTGGTCAGACAAAGATTGATCCACTTAAAGGCTTCAATGGTCAAACTATTTTGGGCCACACTGGATTAGGGACACTTTCTCCTTCTGCCTTATCTCTCCGCCATTCGGCGGCAGCTTGAAAATCCAATCATTAGCCTAGTAAATAGTTCTGCTATGTAGGCTCCGATGTATACCCTGTTTTGCGTGAACGTCAACTTATTCGTTTCCATCAAAACATTCGTGTCCCGGGACCAACCAAAGATTTACCATTACCCTGCTATGCGTGCTTTATTAAAAGACTAATTGTTGTCCACAAGTCTTGATGTTGCCTCACTATCTGACATGATATTTATCCTGGACCATTTGTCGAAATTAAATAGTACTTTAGTTCATTTAGTCCACGAACTGCCTAAGCCTAATATGCATACATTTTT